TATTTGTAGAGTTTATTTGCTTAACATAATAGAAGAAAGACCAGGACAATTGTTATTATCTTATCCGAATGTTGGTAGGGGCTGAATACGGTTGTTCTACCAAGATTGTCTCATTACCTGCCTATGTATAATTAACCCTTTCCAATTTTCCTCGTGCTTTAGGAATGACGGGCTCAGAGTTGCTTGCTTTGCAAAAAGAGAAACTGCGTGCAATGGACTTAAGAGATACTTTGAAAAGAGTTGATTATGGTATTCAGTTCACTAACAAAAGCATTAGTATGGTTGCAGCGAAGCTTGCCATTCAATCTTTGGAAACATAGACATCACTGTAGTTCCCATACAATTGACGGGCTGGAGTTACTGCTCTATTGGTGCTATTATGTCATACAAGTAGTGCAAGCCTTTTGATTGGACAGATTATTATCACTCATGCTTGAACAACCGTTGATGAAACAAAAGGATCAGCTGGAAACTAGTCTTCTCTGAACAAAACATGGACATGGGCAAGAATCATAGGCTCTCGGTTTCATCGGTGCACAGAAGCTATCTTCTGAAGTTTTTGTCTGTATAAAATGTGACTTACAGTTGTTTTTCCTTCTAATTATAGAGGGGAAAAGAATTAAAACAAGTAAATATGACTAGCAGTTTTCTTCTCTCTCTCTCTCTCTCTCTCTCTGGTATGTACTAAACTTTTCATGTGTTTCTTCTTCTCAATTGACAGCTACAGCGTGCTCAAGGATTGATATTAACCAAATCAGAAATTTTCAGCTAGTTTCAAGAATGTTTCAGAGGAAAAGAGTTGTATCTGCAGCTCAGGTGGTGATGGTATTTCTGACCTAATACATCATCAACCCCATTCCCATTGCTATGGATCTGAACTAAATGTAGCACTTAATTGAATATGACTTTTCACTTTTCATGTTGTCCAATGTATTCTCACATGCTATTTTTATTCCACTGTTGAAACCTGTAGAACTGTATAAAATTTGTTGGCCCTTGGTTGTTCACTATTATTTTCAAATTTTGTTTAGAATGAGAACACATTTTGCAGGACAATTTAGAACACATTTGGAAGTAATGGATGAGCAATTTAGAACAAGCATAGTATACTGCAGGACAATTTCTAAATAGCTTGCACACAAGTTTCTTATTCCTGATAACTTATAACTTACCTACCTCTAGTGTTTATTGATTCTGGGCGTTACTGGTTAATAAACTTGGGTTAAGGTAGTGACTGCAATCTTGCAAAAGACAGATTTTGACTAGTATGGTCAACTCTGCATGCATTTGTGACACTTGTAGTTGAAGAACATACCAATGTTAATTCTCTTTTCTAACATTGTTTCAGTTTTTTAAGAAACCTTTTTCTTCCATGTATTATTACACTAAGAATATGTCTCTACTAGATGATGACAGTGCATACAATGCTTTAACCATCAACCGAAATGTCTCAAGACATTTGTGTGATAATGCTATCCGGAAAAAGACATTATTTGATGTTTGCTTTCTATATTCTTTAAGAAATACTATAAATATAAAATTTTATTACTGAAAAATGGAAACATTAGTTTGAAACGCCCTCTTTGCTTTTTTTTCTTGAAGATTATGATGGTATCAACTTTAACACGCAATGGCAGATTGTCCAGTTAGTTATTTTTAGTAAACATAAAGGGTAATTTTAGGCATGCTTTTTACAAAAGCTACAAATCTCATGTTTTATGTTCCTTAGAACTCGAAATTTTTGTTTTCTATGTCCCTAACAGAAGAATAAGGGATCGTCGATCTCAAATATTTAAGATCGAGACAGTATAATTGCCTAAGTGACTTTTTTCATTATTATATGGTTAACTACTTCTAAGGAATAAAGAACGAGGACGAGAACAAGAAATATCTAAAAACAATGAACATATAAACTCATATTTAAAATACAATTCATTTAAATTTCACAATAGAAATGTGTTGGAAAAGAAAGCAAATTCAGTAAAACTTTTTGTGCATTGCATTTGGAATCTTACTTTCTTTTAACCGAAAAGAACATTTATGTCTCTATCCTATTGACTTTTTTAATATATATATATATATTTTAATAAATAAAAAATTATCTAATGAAGTTTTATATGTCTGATATATATATATATATATATATATATATATATATATATATATATATATATATATATATATAT